TTTTTTTTTTTTTAATAAGCATTCAGCAAGTTTATAGACCATCTCTGACTTAGGATCTATTCCCTAGACATGGTCAGAAATAAAACCATTATAATCATACCTTTATTTCTCATAGGTACAGTATTAAAACTGTACCCTTTCAAGCCATTTTATTGATCAGGAAAATAAAAAAATTTAAAAGGCCTATATAATTTTCTTCATAAATGTTTTTAAGTACATGAGACATACTTTTAATAGTTTAAAAAAAAATAAAGCTACATGTGCACAGTTCCTTTTGAGGAATTTCTGCTCTGACTTAGACAGATTTCTAAGTCATTTGACTTAATTTATTTTTCAGCCCAGTGAAGTTTAGAGTAGAAGAGGGCTTCCTTTTTTTTTTTTTTTAATCAATTTCTCAATGGCAAACAATCTTCAGGGAAAGAAGAAACTTCAAATGGGATCAAATTTTACTGTTTTTACAATTCTTATTACCTCCCCCAGGTCTTCGAATGGTAAATTTTAGAAAGAATGCGGTTTAGTGGCAGTTTTTCAATGATTCCTCTTGCCCATGGATGTTCACATTGGTCAGTTTTGGATTTCAGATATCATAATTATAAATTTGCTTGTTACCATTATGATCTCACTTATAAGACAGGAAGTAAAAAGTGAGAATGGGCCCACAATTAGAAGTATCAAAATAAATATAAATCTAGGGAGGCATTAAGAAAAACACATTTAATATTTCTACAATCAGGATAGAATTGCACCTTTCTGAAAAATTGTCAAATCAAGGATGAAGAAATTTTTTTAAATACAGATAATTTTAAAACTTATTGGTGCTTCCTCTTTAATAGTGGGATTGTGAATGATCTCTGTTTTCTCCTTGTACCTTTCTGTATGTTTTAAGTTCTCTAAAATGTAGTTTTTTTCTTATTATCTTTGAAGTGTACAATTTAATGGTTTTAGCATATTCACAGAGTTCGGTAGCCATCGCCACAATTTAATTTTAGAACATTTTCATCATCCCAAAAAGAGACCCTGTACTCGTTAGTTATTACTTCCCATTTCTTCCCACCTTCCAGCCCTAGGCAACCACTGATCTACTTTCTGTCTTTATATTTACCTGTTACTTTTATTTTTAAAAATTTCTTGAAATT